TAAAGAAGAGAGTAATCAGAACTTTGAGATACTGGCATATCTAGAATGAACAGGAAGTGTGCCTGCTCAGTGTTCCACTTACAAGGCTGTCAATACACTGGCACTTTTTTTCAAAGGAAGCTTCTTATCCCTATTTCCAGGGCTATTTACCATGCAAATATTGTAACCCATATTCAGCAATGAATAATTCAGGGTTCCTAATTACAATTTTATGAAAAATGTGAGATTTGTGTAGAATTTTTGCCAAATTCCCAAAATCTTAGAAAGAATGATATGCCAACCATTGTTCCAAGATATGAGCACATATCTTGAGTATGAGAGGATACTCTCTTCTGTTCTTGAAAGTGTAATAACATTGGTAGAGAGAAGCTGGGTGTTGGTGGCACATGCCTTTAATCCCAGCACTCAGGAGGCAGAGGCAGGTAGATCTCTGTGAGTTCGAGACCAGCCTGGTCTACAAGAGCTAGGTCCATTACAACCTCCAAAGCCACAGAGAAGCCCTGTCTCTAAAAACAAACAAAACAAAACAAAACAAAACAATGGTAGAGAGAATATGAATATTAATAAAAATCTGACCACAATGACAGATACCTAAATTACTACTCTTCTGGATGTATGGAAATAACTATAAGCATCAGAAAATATGACTACACATCAAAGTAAAATTCCAAGAATAGATACCTGAGAATAGTATTTTGGTTTGAAGGCAGAAGTTAAAAATCAGGATGAAAATGCCTTTATGACTTTAGAATAATTTTGAATTTGGAAAAGGGTAAAATTGTCCCAAAGCTGTAACCAAGTAAAAGTTGGTGCATCCTAAATGGCACATACGCATTGTATGTATACAAAGCAATGGAAGGGTAATCACAACTTCTAAACCTGTCACAGCCTTTGCTTGTTTAGGAAAATACTTTAGAATTAGAAAGGAGAAGGAAGGAGAAATCAGTAGTAAATGTAAATTTAACTCCAAACATCTGCTTTCTTGGTCCACAACCTCAACTTGGTCTTAATGAAGTGTGAGCTTCTATATGGGTGTATCATGAGAATTGCTCCATCATGGCAATCAAGGAATGTAATTGTTCTACAGTAACAAACTGTGATGAATCTGAAAACACAGAATGATTTCCCTGAGTTTTGAAAAGTGAATCAAATATATTTATAGTAAATGAAAGATCATATTAAAAAAATACACACACACACACACACACACACACACACACACACACATATATATATATATATAGGATTGTGAGGGATTTTGTAAAATATTGGATGCTAATTGCTATTTTCTCTCATAAAGATATTATGAAAAAGATGGAGCAAAATCATTCAATTGCAAAATGTGTGATAGACACATAGACAGAAAAATGAACAAAAGATTAATGAATCAAACCTATGCAATAATACTAAGAAGGGGAACAATGGGAAAAGATAGAGAAGGCAATTGCAAAAGCTACACTGTTGATTAAGAGCACAACTAACCAAAGATGAAAGCTAAAGAACTACAGAGAAATGAGACTCACTGATGTCCGTAAGTACTTTGTGAAAACATTTGCCCAGCTTAATGAAAGGGCACAGTGTTTGGCGATTTAACCAATGACTCTTTTTTTCTTCTTTTTTTTTTGTTTATTCTTCTTTCAGATCTCAACCACAGTTTCCTCACCTTCCTCTCCTCCTAGAATTCCTCCATCTCTTCCCTCTTCCCTAGATCCACTCCTCCTGCTTCCATTCAGAAAAAAATGTCCCTCCCAGGGATGTCAACTGAAAGTAGCATAATAAGGTGCAATAAGACTAGGAACAAGCACTCATATCAGGGCCAGATGAGGCAACACAGTAGAATGGAAAGGGTCCTAATAGCAGGCAAAAGATTCAGAGACATCCCCACTCCCACTGTTGGGAGTCCTACAAAAAACTCCAAGCTACACATCCATAAGATATATGAGAAGGACTCAGCACAGACTCCTGCAAGCTCCATAATTGCTACTTCAGTCTCTGTGAGTACCTATGAGCCCTGCTCTAGTTGATTCTGTGGACTGAGTCTCCTGGTGTCTTATCCTTCTCTTCTTCTTCTTCTTCTTCTTCTTCTTCTTCTTCTTCTTCTTCTTCTTCTTCTTCTTCTTCTTCCTCTTCTTCTCCTTCTTTAAATAACAGGTACAAGTTAGCCTGAAACACATTATTTAACTAAGATTGCTGTTGAACTCGTAGCCTTCCTGCCTCAACATAATGGGTGCTAGATGATAGGAATATGTCAACACTACCAACATCAGTTCATAACAATTGTATGTCCTTCACTATAAAACATGGTAATAAGTGGTGGATCTCCAAGCTCTTCCTTTTGTTTCACAAAATGCTGAGTGAAAAATAAAAGCACAATAACATACAGTGAGAAAAACATGATTTCTTTAAATATTTCAAGTGATGCATATGTGAAATTGTGTCATAAAAGAGCTAATATGGTCTCAGGCATATTCCCAGAAAATAAAATTCTTGAAGCAGACTTCACAAGAATTACACACTTAGGCTCTTTTCTTTTAAAGGGTTCTATGGATTGCATTGAGATTGTCTCAAGTTTAAAAGTACATAAAATCGCATATTGCACAAACCTATAATAGTAACTAATATGCCATTTGTTTTCTCTCTCCTGTAGATTACATTCTAGAATACACTTTTGGGGTGAAGAGGATCCCCACCTCTTTTACAAACAAATCTTTAAGAACAAACAACAACATATACCAGATCTGAAGACAAATAACATCAACTAAGTTTTGTCTTTAAGTAATCATAAATCCATCACTACAGTGGAAGCAGTATTTTTAGCACTTCATGGACTCTTGGATAGAACACACTTATTAACAAAAAATAGATTTAAAGGAGAAAAACAAATGCACATTTATTATTGACTCACTTTGTAGTGGAAGAGACCGCTGATGTGGAGGTTTCATGGAGGTTTTGAATTCCGGCTTATAATAGAATATTTTCAAAGAACAGGAAAAGGCAAATGCAGAAGGTATCTGAGTCTCTAGGTGCAAAATATTTGCAAAGCAAGATACTAGGTCAAATAAGCTCTATTATGAAGAATCCTCTGTTACCATTTCCACCTCCTAAGATTCTCAGGTTTTTTCCAGGGGTTGACCTGGAGTTGCTTGCTAAACAGGAGACCAGTGACTTTTGTTATAGACAATCTATGTTCTGCTTTTAAACAAGTAACTTCAGAGAAGACAGCTTTCATCATATTGCTTATTCATAATTGTTCTTCAACAGCCTGTCACATATTGGAGTGTATATTCTGGTCTCCCACATTATTAATTTTAAATAGGCTAAGAATAATTTGTACTTTATAGTGAAAATCAGAGTACTTTTAATGGATATTAACAATTGCTTTGGAGACAATGTCATTTTCTTTCCCAGGAGATAGATATATATCTATCTATATCTATATCTATATCTATATCTATATCTATATCTATTCTGGTTACAAAAGAAAACACCCATTAATTCTGGACTCATTAGATGCAAAATCCTACCCAACATGTAAATCAGACAACAGACTTTCTGTGTCTCATTAGTCAGAAATGTCGAGTCTCTCATCCATCTAAGTTATTGAGCCAGAATTTGCTTTTTACCATGTTTTTAGGCAATGTCTATGTTGATTAAAGTTTGCAACTTACTAAATTTGCTGTTGCTTTTGTAAACTAATGTACACAGTTCACTTCCCCAGGTAAGTAATTTTGATTTTTAAGTGCATCGTGACCCAAATTGTAAAGCTTGCAAGGAATCATAATACATTTTGTTTAATATTAAAGGAAATTGATCCACTATTATACGGAACCTACTTCATTCTTGATACTGTGTAGACATTTCCAAATCTATTAATTTATCTAACATGTGCTGCACACTCTGAGTTAAGTGCTACTATCTCCAGACAATATTAGTAACTGCCTCTTTCTACGTAGGTGTGTTTTTCAATACACAGTGGACATCCTGTAAATCACTCTTTACCGTAAATCTCTAAAAATAAAATGCAGATGGCACACAATGCTGGAAAGAATTCTGTTTTAATCATATAGGAGAACGTGAGACAGTACAACTGTCGGAAATAAAAAGAAACCTAGACTCTGCGAAGAGATGCGGGGAAAAGTTTTGTTCGCAGAGGTTTTAATCTGTTGTCTAAAAAGAAAACAGTTTAAAAGCGGACCTTGCAAAAAAAGGAAGTGTGTCTCGGGGTTTTGTGGAAATGGGGCATGCAGAGATTCTACAGAAGGTTGTTCGACTAAGTGCTTGAGTAGGACGTCATCAAGGCCAACCCTGGGTGTCTCCAGGAGTTGCAGGACCCTGATCATTGGGTAGGCTAGTTTAGACCAAACAGACCAGGAGGAGCAGTTTGGTGGTGGTGTGCCCTGCCACCCCCCCAGCCACTTTCTCCACCCCTGACACCGCCTCCTGCCCTGAGCCCAGCAACTAAGGGTGGGGAGTGAGAGAGGGGCGAAGGAGGAATACGGCCCCCCAAAATGTGAAAGAGTAAAGAGTCCTAGCCAGCTGCTTCCGGGTTCCCGCCGCTTGCAGTCTGCAAACTGGTGAGCCTCAGTTTTCAGCTAGGTTCCCCCGGGAGCCGCGAGCCACCAGGGTGCG